CCAGGGATCGAACCTGCGCCCTCAGCAGGGAAAGGACAGAGTCCTAACCACTGGACCGCCAGGGAATTCCCACCCTCTTTTATTTTATGTTATTTACTAACAATCTAATGAGCACTCATAAACCTGTCATCCAACCTTGGAACTAGGATAGAGGCAGTTGCTTAGATGAATCTGTGTGTACCTTCTAGAAACTTGTGTGCTGGCAATTATTTTATTTTATTTTATTTTTGCGGTACGTGGGCCTCTCACTGTTGCGGCTTCTCCCGTTGCGCAGCACAGGCTCCGGACGCGCAGGCTCAACAGCCATGGCTCACAGGCCCAGCTGCTCCACGGCATGTGGGAGCTTCCCGGACCAGGGCACGAACCCGTGTCCCCTGCATTGGCAGGCTAACTCTCAACCACTGCGCCACCAGGGAAGCCCTGCTGGCAATTATTGACAGCACTTAGTTATTTGTTTAGTTAAGCCCCAGGAGAACAAGGACTGAGGACCTTTGGTTCATCAACATATTATGCCCTGCAGGGCTTCCCTGATGGCACAGTGGTTAAGAATCCGCCTGACAAGGCCGGGGACACAGGTTCAAGCCCTGGTCCGTGAAGATCCCACATGCTGTGGAGCAACTAAGCCCGTGTGCCACAACTACTGAGCCCACACGCCTAGAGCCCATGCTCCACAACGAGAGAGGCCATCGCAATGAGAAGCCCCTGCACTGCACTGAAGGGTAGCCCCCGCTCACCACAACTAGAGAAAGCCTGCATGCAGCAATGAAGACCCATCACAGCCAAAAATAAAACAATAAATAAATTTATTAAAAATAAATCAATATTCTATTTCAAAATATTATATCCTGCAGTTAGTAAAGTGTCTGACACACAGAAGCCTTTAATCACTTTAAATTAAACATTTTTTAACCTTTAAAATTTAAAAAAAATTCTAATTGTGGTAAAAACCCACTGCATAAAACTCACCTGCCTTAAGTGTAAAATTCAATGATTCTTAGTAAATCTACACAGTTGTGCAATCATCACCACTATCCAGTTTTAGAACATGTAAATCACCTGGAAAAAAATCTCTGCTGTCCTTTCTCAGCCAATCTTGATCACATCCTGAGCCCCAGGCAGATTAACTTTCTGTTACTATAGTTTAAAATCTACTCCTCAAAAGACACCTCTAAAAGAATGAAACGATAAACCACAGACTGAGAAAATATTTGTAAAGGATATACCAAAGAGAGGACTTGTGTCCAGAATGAACTCAAAGCTCTAAACTAAGAAAATAAACAACTCAGTAAAAAAGGGGGCAAAAGATCTGAACAGATGCTTCATCAAGGAAGATATAAGAATGACAAATAGGCACGTAAAAACCTGCTCAATGTTAGTAGTCACCAGGGAAATGCAAACATAGCAAAAAACTATAGTGAGGTGCAACTACACACCTATTAGAATGACTAAGATTTAAAAGACTGACCGTGCGAGTATTGGTGAGAACGTAGAGGAACTGGACTTGAATTCTTCCAAAATGTTAATGTAATAAAAGACAAAGCAAGGCTATGGAAATGGTCCAGATTAAAGGAGGCCAAAGAGACATGTTAATGAAATGCAATGCCTGACCCTGGGCTAGATCTTGTAATGGAGGGAAGATGTTACAAAGGACATTATCCAGTCAACTGACAAAACTGGAACGAACACAAATGGCAGATTAAAGTATTGTAGCAATGTCAACTTACTGAAGTTGATGAATGTACTGTGATTATATAAGGGAATATTCTTAGTGATATTTTGAAAGAGATAAAGCAAATGGGCTAAAATGTTAATGTTAAAGTAGGTGAATATAAAAAAAAGGTACTGGGTGTTCTTGATACCATTTATATTTTTTGTAATTTTTCTCAGTTTGAAATTATTTTAGAATAATTTTTTAAAAATAAAAAGCTAATGAGAGTTTTATTTAGGGATAAATTTCTGGGCATAGTAAAAGCCTGTGAAAATTTGAGGTCTAAATGAAATTTATTGCACTAATAACAATAAGATTAATTTTTAACTTGTTGAATTTTGCATATTCAGAAGGGCTTAGCATAACAGACAAAAATAAAAACATTTTAAAGGTTATTTGGCTGTAGCAATATTTTTCTTAAGTTGAGGTGAAATCCACTGTGACGAAAGAAACGGAAGAACAGCTTCAGGGCTAACAGCACATTTTGGCTCCTGTAAGAAACTTGCTTGCTTGCTTGGGGCGGGAAGAACCGGGTTCCTGATTGGCTGATTCAAAATTAAACAGCTCCCTCCGGCCTTGGGGACTTCCCGCACTGTGAAGGGTATAAAGGCCTCGCCCGACTGTTAGTCGGGGTCTCACTCACTTCTCTCCGAGTGGGAGCCTGTCCGGACAGTTTTTTTTAGCTTCTATACTTGTTCTTTTATAAATCCTTTGCTAATCTTTCTGCTTGGTGTTGGCGATTCTCGGGTGTCCTTGGTTGGGACACGGGTCGCATTTACCGGGGAACTCGACTCCAGGCGTGTGGCTCCCGGACCGCAACACCACATGACATGAATTAACCATTTTAAAGCATACAGTCCAGTGGCATTTAGTACATTCACAATGTTGTTCGACCACCATCTAGCAATAACCTCGCTGCTTTTAAAGATATTTAACATTTGCATTTAAAAATTTTGCAGAAATGCTTTTTTAAATCTAGTTAAACAAGTTTAACAAGTTTAAAAAACAACAAAATAGCTTGAATTACAATCTATGATATTTTCCTCTCTGATTACTTCCTCACACACATACACATCACACACACACACACACACACACACACACACACAAGAATGCTTGAATATTCAACTACGTTAAAATGCAGTTTTCCAAGAGATCCTAACACTTCATTCATCGTTAGCTATCTTGGACCTAAAACTGGCTGCCAACATATAGACATGCCCAGTCCTCTGACAGCCACTGAGCAATATGCTGGCTATAAAATTTGTGCAAGTGAGGTATCTGCCTGCACTTAGTTTGTGACAGCCAGTTACTGAAATAAACACCGCAGATTTTACCTAAGTTACTCTGAATATTGATGTACCCCTAGTTCCCGGAAGAAAGATTGTCAGTCTGCTCTTTGATTCAACCTGGTATGTGATCATCATCATCATTTTCATTTAGTAAAACCAAGCGGGCAAAGGTAAGAAGAGGTAAATTCAGTTCCTGCTAAACTGTTTCTTCTCTTTGTCCCCTCTGTTTTCCCTGTTTTGGGAATAGTTGAGGCAATCTCATTTTCACTTTGCATTTCAGTGTTGCCTCCTGGGTGTGCCTTTCTTGAGAAGACTCTGCCTCAGGTGGGCCACCCTCAGTCACTGGCCCTAAATCGCTCAGTTCCGGGCACATCTCTGGTCCCTGCTGACAATCCTCTGAGTCTCTGACGGAGAGTTGGTCTCTATTAGAGTACTCATTTCTCCAATCTCAGTCGTGATTGGTTTAAAATCAGCATAAAAGTCACTGATATAGGGCTTGCTAAACACATTCTCTGAAGTCCTATGAAGAGGAATTGTTGTATTATGTTAGAGGTTCCAAGACCTGTTTGTTCTGAACAAGAAATTGTTTGATGAAAACCCCCAGTGGTGTTAGTATTTTCTGCCAGTCTTGCTCTGGACTGAAATCCATTTGTGACATTATCACAATCTTTATTTTCTACGGGACGGATACTTTTTTTCTTTTTAACTTGACGGCCTAGTGTGGTACTCGGATGGTGTTGGCAGCCTTTAATTGTTAGTGCTCTTCTTAAGAGCTGCCCAGATGGAGCAATAGGAGAGAGCTGAGGTGTTCACACTGGCCAGGTACTGCTGGTCCTCTCCTACCACTGTTGTACAGTCCACGACATTCTCCAGGGTTTTCTGTCAAATTCTCGTCTCACCAGGAATTGGTGATCCTCCTCCTGGGGGGATGTGGCACTGGGATGGGGTGTGGTACGGGCGGGGAGCAGGCGATGTTCTCCTCTTCCGCCTGAAAAGCAGAGACTGGGGGCCGGGAGATGGAGGCCGGAGGATCTGCCGTCACTTTTCACGAGGTGGTTTCTACTTCCAATCCTTCCAAACCTTTAGTCGGTAGAGGAGCTAGCAGCCAGCCTGCCTTGGATGGTCCAGCTAGAGGGGAAGGCTATGGAAGAGAAGCAGGCTCCAAGCCTGTCTTTTGTTTTGGTCAGTTCAGCATCACCTAACCGGCCAAGAAACCTCTCCATAGAAATAATTCCCTCTACCGCTATCGAATAGTTTCGCTTCACATGTTTTCTTTAATCAGAAATTTGTAGAACCACAGCTCCTCGCTTCATTCTGATTGGGAATTAGTTCTCAGACTCCAACCAGGGCAGAAGAGGCAGCTAATCATCTTTTGCTTTACCTACTACACATAACTGTGAGTTAGGATTCTTTTGCTGTAAAATCTCATCTTCCCATAAATGTAGGCTACTTTATTACAGGCTGAATGTAACCAGGACCTCAGGCATGCAGTTTTGTAAATTACTTAGATTCATTACAATGTTTAGCTTTGAAATGTAAACACTACTTACTAAAAACTACTTACAAAACGTTTTTCTTTTTACGGTTACTTGCTACTGTCATTACCATAGGCTTCTATTTACGGAAAGGTTTATTTAAAAATACATTTATTTAGGAATAAAGGTGAGTCAGTTTAAAGCAAGTATTAATTACATAATCACACAAGTGGTTTGCAGATACAACAAAACCAGAGACATGGTGGAGGCCGAATCTAGAAAACAGGTTCCGCGAGGTGGTGGGGCGGGTGCGAGAAGTCTACGGAAGCCGGGAAGGCCAAGGGCAAGGCGGGCGTTAACCAGAGCCCGGAGCAAAAGACGGCCCCGCCTCCCCGAGTGCGGCGCAGTGCGCAGGCGCGGCGGCGCCCCTCTGCGGGCCGCTGGGCTCACTGCGCATGCGCGGCCTCCGGCTTGGTCCCAGGTGGAGCTGTTTTAGCCGAGCTGGCGCCGCCGTGAGCCTCCGAGATGAGCGCGGCCGAGGCCGACCGCTGGGCTTGGCTGCTGGTGCTCAGCTTCGTGTTTGGGTGCAATGTACTCAGGATCCTCCTCCCGTCCTTCTCCTCCTTCGTAAGTGGCTATCTGGCCTTCCAGGGGTCGGTGGGGTCGCCGCCCCAGCGTGCTGTAGACACAGTGGTCTCAAACTGGCCGCCCGACGGCCGGATTCGGCCCGCAGAGGCGTCTTGGTTGGGCTGTTCTGTGTTTTAAGATGTTTTTGAGTGAGTTGCTGGCGTCAAGTCGCAACGCTTTACCCCCATATCCGGTTTTCTGGATTCTTGGGGAGAAAAAAAGAAATGCCTGATAACGCTTGGCCACGTTCTCGCGTGGCAGCGGTCTGGAGTTCTCAGTGCCCTCCTGCCAGCCGCAGTCATTTCCGCTATTCTCTGGTTCCTGGGGGCGTCGAGCAGCCTCAAGCTGCTGGGGTGGGGGCGTGGGGAGGGCCAGTGCCTGCAGCAGGGCGTCCGGGGCTCCGGGAAGTCTCGCCTTCTCGCGTGCAGTGCAGCTGTGCAGGGTCCCTGGGGACGGGTCTCAGGATGCAGGGGCCCCCATTCTTGGGGCGGGAGGGGTTGGAGACAGTGTAGACTTAGAATCCCAGTGCTCTGTGATGTTTCCCGTACCCAGAGGAGCGACGGGCACTTGGGAGCACTCTCTGCGGGGCGTTTTGTCCGTCATGAGTAATTTCCTCGTGTCCAGTCGCCACGGTTGCTGTGACCGTCAATGCCATCTTCCTGTACCTCCCAGAGGAGGTGTGTTTGACTCAGAGTCTAGTAGTTGTCCTAAGACATCCAGCTAGTGATTGCTGGGGTGGAGGTTTGATCCTTGGTGTGTGATTCTCCGAGGTCTGCCCCTCTGCTTGTTGGAGCGTGAATAGGGGGTTGGGTGGCATGTTTGATGGGAGGTGCGTGTGGAGAAGGTGAGGAGCTGTTCTCCTCGGAAGGGCGCCCTCTGTAGGCCGACAGTGGGAGTGAGGGGCTGTCTGACTTAGGCCGAGACTCAAAGATGGGGTGCACACACTGTACCAGTGTCCTGGGAACTCAGTTCTGCTTTTTTCTCCTGGTACAAATTGGTGGTGGTGGGGGGGTATATAAGGCTAGACAGGGTTTCTAATTCTTTTTGTTCTACTCTACTGGTATCCATTGGGTGCCTGTTTTGTGTAAAACTCTATTCTAGGACCTTATCACCCAAGTTGTCCTGAGCCAATTCTCTCTTAATCCCATCCCCCGTTGGGAATCTTTCCTGATGCTTCCTTGTCTTTAAGATGGTGTCCGAAGTACTCAGCATTGCATAAAAGACCCTTGAAGAGTAGGCTCCAGCCCACTCTTCTTTTTTCTTATTTTTAAAAAATTGTGGTAAAATATACATAACAAAATTTACCGTTTTAACCATTTTTAGGTATATAGTTCAGTGGCGTTGAGTATATTCACATTGTTGTGCAACTGTTCATCACGCTTTGTCTCCAGAACTGCAGCTTCCTAAACTGAGGCTCTGTCCCGAGTAAACATGGGGCTTTATCCACATGCCCCTTCCCCCAGTCCCTGGCAACCACCATTTTACTTTCCGTCTCTATGAATCTGACTATTCTAGGCACCTCATATAAGTGAAATCATATAATATTTGTCCTTTTATGTCTGGCTTATTTCACTCAGCATAATGTCCTTAGGGTTCATCCCAGTTGCAGCCTGTGTTAGGATTTCCGTCCTTTATAAGGCTGAATAATATTCCACTGTATGTATATATCACATTTTGTTTGTTCATTCATCTTTTGATGGACATTTGGATTGTTTTTGCCTTTTGACCATTGTGAATAATGCTGCTAGAACATTCGTGTACAAGTGTTTATTCAAATCTCTGCTTTCAGTTCTTTTGGGTAAATACCCAGAAGTGGAATTGCTGGATCATATGGTAATTCTGTTTTTAATTTTTTTGAGAAACTGCTGTACTGTTTTCCACAGCGGCTGCATCATGTAAATTCTCACCAGCAATGCACAAGTGTTCCATTTTCTCTACATTGTCTAACACTTGTTATTTTTAGTTATTATTTTTCCTTTCTGGATAATAGCCATCCTAATAGATGCAAAGTGGCTTCTCTTTGTGGTTTTGATTTGCATTTTCCTAATGATTAGTGATGTTGAACATTTCATTTGCTTATTGGCCATCTGTATATCTTTGAAAAACAGTCTATTCAGGTCTGTGGCCCCTTTTCTAATGGGGCTGCAGGAGCTGTCCCTAGGGGAAGAGCACTCTCTGGAGGCCCACATCAAATGTGAGTGGCTGCGTTTTTGTGGTTAAGTTAGGAGTTCTTTATATAGTCTGGATATTAGCTCCTTATCAGATACATGATTTGCAAACATCTTCTCCCATTCGGTGGGTTGCCTGCCCATCTTACTTGCAGTATCACTTTGATTCTTCCTATGTACCCCATCTCATTTCACCTTACATTGGAACCACACACAAAACTAACCTCAGTTGCTGAAAGAGGCTGTGTTGGTTTTGTATTCCTCTGTGAATTGCTCCTCTTTTCTCATAAGCTGAGGGGGAAGGAGGAGACTGTTTGGAATACGGCAGTGGCTGTAAGTAAGAGCTGTCATCACCTCTGGCTCCTTCACCAAGCTCTCACCAAACCTGTGCCCTGCAGCTAGCACGCTCTCATAAAAAGTTACTGCTGCAGTCTACACATGCACGAGGTTTGTGCCTTATCAGGGTGGCTGTTTGTCGTTCAGGTGAATGAGCACAGGGTTTGTTCTTGGACCTGTGTCACGTCCTTTGCTGCATCCTACCGGCTGTGTAACCTCTCTAACCTCCGACCAGTCAGCCTTCTTAGACCCGTTTTCCCTTGGTTGTAACACTGTCAGAATTGTTAGCCAGGTTCAGAAGGATAACATTATCCTAGCAGAGTACAGTTGCTGGTGTTCAAACAGGGAAAAGTAATAAAGAGATCTGGTTTGTGTTGAGGGTCAGTGAAAAACTGTAAGGAACGCGCTGGTCCCGTGTAGGGTAAAATGCTGCTGCTTCTCGACCGTTAGAGGCTGCCCCATCACAGGCGCTGATCTGAGGATGCACGGGGGAAAGACTCCAGGGAGGATCAGTTTGACTGGGAACGGGCCACGCTCCCTGCACCTCAGACTGTAGCCCTCCGTCCAGGGTTTCCGAGGCTTCTTCTCTTCAGCCAGAGCAGGGAAGGGGCGCGCCTTCCCCTTAGGCAGGAGAGGCTCTTGAGGAAGTCTCTCAAGTTCAAGAAGTCCTCTCCCAGCAGAGTGCTGCAAGGTCCTGGGATGGGACCTCAGCCAAATGCTGGGGTGGGGGCTGGGTGCCTGGATAAGGACGCCCAATCCTCTGCGTTGACTTGGTTAGAATTTTCCTGCGAGTTCTTTCATGTTTCCTTTCCAGCCACAGGACGCATTTGCGATCCAGCACAGCCAAAGGCAGAGGCAGAGGGGACAAAGACCACCCTGCGGAGCGCCCCCCCTCCGTGGCTGGAGCCGTGCTGTACAGGCGCCCCGGGCCCCCCAGGACTGACGTGGCCGAGGGCGGGGGGAGCTCCTAGTTAGCCATGTGCCTTGCGCAGGCGTGCCAGGGCCGATGCGCTGGAGGGCGGCCTGCGGGTCGTGGAGAGATGCGTGCACTGCGCGGGCGCCCTAGGACTGGTGTGGTGGAGGGAGGGGTGAGGGTCCGGGCGAGTCGCGTGCCCTGCGCAGGCGCCCCAGGACCTATGCGCTGGAGGGCTGCCTGCGGGTCCCCGAGAGCCGCGTGCGGTGCTCAGGCGCCAGGAGCCTCTTCCTCACAGACCCCCTGCTTTGCAGACCTTGAGCATGGGTGCAGCGCAGGCTGTCCTCTGGGACTTGGTGTGTGGGACTGGCCGCCACTTTTGTGTTTGACAACTTCAAAATCACTTAACTTGCTGCTCTAAAAAGTGGCCGCTTCCCTTTTCTGTCTAGGGGCCTGGGCCACTAAGGTGAGGGGTGGACACTGCAGGACCTGCCGCTGCGGGCCTTGCTAAGACCCTCCCCGTTTCCAGGGAGCACGGTCACCTAGTGAGTTGTTGCTGTGGACCAGCATGAGCCCCAAGTGCTGTTTGAGGAGGTGACAGAGGTGGCGACGGGGATTGAGTGCGCACGAGCAGGTGTGTCCTGGCGGATGCGGACTCCCCCGTGCCGGGGACCAGGGCCGCGAGGAGTGGGCCCGACTTGGCTGGTCCTAGCTGAGGGGCATGTGGGATTGTTCTGGGCCTTGGGCTCTTCCCGGGGTGAGGGGTCTCCCTGCGGTGTTAGGGACACGCCTGAGCCGCCATTCCCAGGGATGCCTGCTGTGTTCCGGGAGGGAGGAGCCTTTGGGCTGTAAATGTCATCGGGCACGATTTTCAGATGGGACTGGTCCAGAGTTGCCAGCCATTGAGTGGGGGAGTGAGGATTTGAACAACCCCAGTGCCACTGCAAATCCTGGCATTTTGTTGGCAGAGGGAGTGTCCAACTTGGACAGGATCAGAGGGTGACTGAGGAGGACACTGTGATCTCACACAGGCAGAGGGCCAGCGTCTGGGGACAAGAGAAGCAAAGGATTGGTTCTGCCCTTGTTTTCTCTCCAGATTCTCCCACCGGATTTTTTTTTTTTATGATAAGCAAAGTTTGTTTGTTTGTTTGTTTGTTTATTGATCGATGGCTTGCGGGATCTCAGTTCCCTGACCAGGATTTGATCCTGGGCAGCAGGCAGTGAAAGTGCCAAGCCCTAACCACTGGACCGCTGGGGAATTCCCTCACTGATCTTTAAAAACTTATTTTCTTTTCTGCTTTAGAATTACTTGTGGACCCATCTCCAGGTCTTTGAAAAACCATACCCTACACAGTTTATCAGCTTCTGTCAAGTGGGAGATTTAATACACCTTTGAGTACATAAAAACTTCAGAGGACTTCCCTGATGGCACAGTGGTTAAGAGACTACTGAAGCCTGCGCGCCTAGAGCCCGTGCTCCGCAACAGAAGAAGCCACCGCAATGAGAAGCCCGCACCCTGCAAGGAAGAGTGGCCCCCACTCGCCGCAACTAGAGAAAGTGCGCATGCAGCAACGAAGACCCAATGCAGCCCAAAAAAACAAATTAAAAACCTGATAGAAATTTAAAAAAAAAAGACTTAAGATATATATTTTTAAAATTTTATTTATTTATTTATTTATTTATGGCTGCTTTGGGTCTTCGTTGCGTGCGCGGGCTTCTCATTCTGGTGGCTCCTCTTGTTGCGGAGCATGGGCTCTAAGCGCGCGGGCTCAGTAGTTGTGGTGTGCTGGCTCAGTAGTTGTGGCTCGCGGACTCTTGAGTGCAGGCTCAGTAGTTGTGGCGCACGGGCTTAGTTGCTCCGTGGCATGTGGGATCTTCCCGGACCAGGGCTCAAACCTGTGTCCCCTGCATTGGCAGGTGGATTCTTAACCACTGTGCCACCAGGGAAGCCCCAGATGTTTATGTTTTAAAAATTAATATTGGGACTTACCTGGTGGTCTAGTGGCTAGGGCTCCGTGCTCCCAGTGTACGGGGCCCAGGTTCGATCCCTGGTTGGGGAACTGGATCCCACATGCTGCAACTAAGACCCGGCGCAGCCAAATAAATAAATATTTAAAAAAATTAATATTAAGAACATTTAAAAAATTCAAATCTCCTCAAATCTTACATTTCAATTCATAATTCTAGTATATTTTAACAGTTATTTGTAAGGAGGTCTTGGATTAATGTTGGTACCTATTTGCAAACTTAAACACTTCCAAATTTTCTTTTTTTGTACTTGTAGATGTAATATATTCATTTTTTCTTCAAGCGCTGCATTTCCTAATTTTAACCACAAATCTCTTCAGTTCCCCTCAAGTTTATTCTCCTGCCCTCACTCACTTTCCACTCCTGAGTAACCATTTTTGGCCTTTCCAGCTTTTAATTGTTTTATGTACAGCGTACCTCGGAAATATTGCAGGTTTGGTTCCAGGCTACTGCAATAAAGTGAATATCGAAATAAAGTGAGTCACATGCAATTTCTGGCTTCCCAGTGCATAAAAATGTTATGTTTACACTAGAGTCTATTTAAAGTGTGCAGTAGCATAGCATTGTGTAAAAAAAGTGTACGTGCCTTAATTAAAAAATTGTTCATTGCTAAAAAATGCTAACCATCATCTGAGCCTTCAGTGAGTTGTAGTAGTAACATCACAGATCACTAATCAGGGAATACCCTGCTGATCCAGTGGTTAGGACTCTGCCGTTTCACCGCTGAGGGCTGGGATTCGATCCCTGGTCCAGGAACTAAGATCCCGCAAGCCCCGTGGTGTGGCCTAAAAAAAAAAAAAAAAAGAAAATCACTAATCAAAGAACACCATAACAAATATAACAATAATAAAAAAGTTTGAAATATTATGAGAACTACCAGAATGTAACACAGAGACGTGAAATGAGCAAATACCGTTGGAAAAATGGTGCCAATAAACTTGGTTGATGCAGGGTTGCTACAAGCCTTCGATTAAAAAAATCTGTGGAGCACAGCCTGCATTCTCTATAATGCTGTGTGTTTGCCCCTCGATTTCTTTTTTTTTTTTTTAATTTCTTTTTGGCTGTGTTGGGTCTTTGTTGCTGTGCAAGGGCTTCTCATGTGGTGGCTTCTCTTTTTGCGGAGCATGGGCTCTAGGCGCGTGGGCTTTGGTAGTTGTGGTTCATGGGCTCAGTAGTTGTGGCTCGCGGGCCCTAGAGCGCAGGCTCAGTAGTTATGGCACATGGGCTTCGTTGCTCTGCGGCATGTGGGATCTTCCTGGACCAGGGCTCGAACCTGTGTTGCCTGCATTGGCAGGCAAATTCTTAGCCACTGCGCCACCAGGGAAGTCTCCCCCTCTATTTCTTTTAAAATCCTAGTTGCTTTTTTTTTTTTTGCGGTATGCGGGCCTCTCACTGTTGTGGCCTCTCCTGTTGCGGAGCACAGGCTCTGGACGCGCAGGCTCAGCGGCCATGGCTCACAGGCCCAGCCGCTCTGTGGCATGTGGGATCTTCCCGGACCGGGGCACGAACCCGTGTCCCCTGCATCGGCAGGCGGACTCTCAACCACTGCGCCACCAGGGAAGCCCTAAATCCTAGTTTTAAAAGTCAGGTTTATTGATGTGTAATTTGCATTCAGTGAAATTCACTTCTTGTACATGGGTAGTTTGATGAGTTTTGGCACACTTAATCAGGGTAACCACCGAAACAATCAAGGTAAAGAATATCTCCATCACCTCTGAAAGTCCTTTCCCCACCCTGCACCTGTTTTTTTTTCAATCAAATTTTAAAAAAATACACCTTTATTTGAAGTTTTGGCTGTGCCTCACTGTTTCACATGGCATTCGGGAATCTTAGTTCCCGGACCAGGGATCGAACCCACGCCCCCTGCAATGGAAGCGCAGAGTCTTAACCACTGGATCGCCAGGGAAGTCCCTGCCCCTGTTTCTTGATTTACAAAGTTTAAGCAGCATCTATGAACTCCTTGCTCTTTAAGATGATACTGTGGTTTTTAAAGATAATTTGGTGCATTCCTGTTTTCTGCTCTAGGGTGGATCAGGCTAGAGTGTATGTCCTTGGCCAGCTCGAACTGAAGAGTCACCCTACTGTGCACCAGGCAGGGGGGATTGGGGGCTAGAGGAACAGACTGATTTATTGTGCACCAGCTATGTACCAGTACAGGGAAATATATTAATATAGTTTATTAATGTATCTTTATTAATATATTTTTAAGAATGTGAAACAAACACAAACGTGCAAAAAAAGTTATACATTCATTAGAAAGAACTGGTTTTGTTTCCTGAACCATTTGAAAGTAAGTTGTCAACCCGAGTGCCCTCTTTCCCCAGTACTTTAGTGTATAAACAGTGGCCTTGCCCGCAGTACAGCTGTCAGGTACAATCCTCCTGTCCCGTTCAGGGTTTCCTCGTCCCAGTGACGTCCTTTGTAGCAGAAGGACCCCAGTCAGCACCATGTGTAGCACATACTTGTCGTGTCTCTTCAGTCTAGAAGGAGTCTTGGTTTTTCCTTGAATTGCGAGGATGACATTTCCGAATGTCGCAGGGCAGTGACTTTGCACAGTGGCCTCCTGTGGACATCTTTGTCCAGCGTTTGGCGAGGATGTCACATAAAGGATGCTGTGTTCTCTTTGCATCTCACCAGGTACTGTGGGTGTTGATTTGGGGAGGTACACTCATCGCTCCGGGTCAGTCCCTGAGGAATTCTCACTCCCCCACGAGGTCGCCCGTGGACCTCCCCGCGCTGGTGCGAGTGTGGTCCCCTTGCTCTCCCCTCGCTCTCCTGGGACCTTCACCTGTCCTGGTGGGTTGTTGGGCGCTACCTGGCAGCCACTGCATGTGTAGCCCGGGCCGCTGGCGGTGTCCTGGCCGGTGTGTGTGTCTGTGGGGGGGCGTCTGGGGACGGTGCGGGCAGGTGCCCTCACACTTGGGTCCCCTCCACTGTCCGGGCAGCCGGGAGGGCGCCTGGGCCGGTCGTGTCCCACGTGGGGTCTGGCTGTCAGAGGCTCCTCTTCACAAACATTTACGTCTGTTATTTCATCTGTCTGTGTATCTATGGAAAACCACGAGGTCACACCTGTGCCTCCAGTTCTCATCCAGTCCCACGGGATTCATTCTGGTTCTCTCCCGATGCACGTTTCTCACTCCCTTTTCTCACAGTGAGAAAACTGGCTCACAGTATCCTCAGTAGGTCTCCGTGACTTGCACAATCCTTTGTAACTCGCCCTCGGCCTCCACCACCACCTCCTCTTGTCACGTGTGCCCCTCCTGCTGTGGGACCCCGACTCTCACGCCAGGCAGCCCCTCTGCGGGAATGCCCTCTTCCCCCGCCACCGCTTCATCCCTGACCGCCGGCACCCCTCTTGCTCGGCCCACCCAATTTAACACAGAATTCTACAGGAATGAGGGGCGTGCACGGTCCTTGTCACCTGAATGAAGCTCTGGGGATGGAATCAGTTTTCATCCTGTAATCACAATTTTGCAGTAAAAGTGAAGGATACATACATTTGTGCTGTAGCAGTCCGTGGGCATATCTGCAGAAGGAAAAACGTAATTGAATAAAGACTCACGGGGCAGGGGTGGGGGGAGTTTTTGTTTCTGTGGTCGGGGGCAGCAGGACCGGGACCAGGCAGCAGAGCCTGGCCTTGGGGGTAAAGGGCAGCGTGCCCAGCTGCAGGAGGCAGCAAGCAGATAGGGAAGGGGGTGGGGGAGAAGGCTGATCCCGGCTGCCACCTCCACCAGATGTCCAGGGTGCTGCAGAAGGACGTGAAGCAGGAGTCACAGATGCGAGCAGAGATCCAGGGCATGAAGCAGGAGCTGTCCACCGTCAGCATGATGGACGAGTTTGCCAGATACGCCAGGCTGGAGAGGAAGATCAACAAGATGACTGATAAGCTCAAGACTCACGGTACTGTTCTTGTGTAGCGTGGGAAGCTTCGTACGAGCTGATTAATAGAGAAATCTTTATAGAAAGAGGCACCGCACGTGTGCTTTGACCTTTGAGGTTCTGATGCTGACAGAGACTTTTAAGTTGTCTAGAAGAGACCCAGTAATAATAATTGTTAATTTCTCCTTATTTGCTGGTGAACCTTTGCTTTCTAAACACAGAAGCCTGGGGACTTCCCTTGCGGTCTAGTTGTTAGGACTCGGCACTTTCACTGCTGTGGGCCCGGGTTCGATCCCTGGTCCGGGAACTAAGATCCCGCAAGCCGAGAGTCATGGAAAAAAAAAAAAAAAAAAGAACCAAAAACAAAAACACGCAACCACACAGAAGCCTCTAACATCTTTGATTTTCTTCATTCTCCGTAGGTTGACATTTTCAAATTCAACACTTTTCTGAGAGAAGCCTAGAAAAGTCTCATGGTGGATTCCCAGGAGCCTTTGTGAATGCTCTAAAAAATGCGCAGCAGTGTCCTTATCCAAGTGTAGACCTCAGGCTGGGGATCAGGTCTTACTCAGCTTTTTGTTTGCCACCGTTCCTAACAGTCTCCTCTGATGGATAGGAGGTCAGCTTGTGTGCTGAGAGAGTGCGTGGCTAGTAAAACATGGCAGAGGGGCCTGCCCAGGCCTGAGACAAACCTGACTCCCACTTACGGATTAGTGTGCTGTGTGGTCTGGGAAATCCAGGAAGAAAAAGGTAGTCCCGTTGGTAAGTGCCTCGTAAAAGAATCTCTGATTTAGATGAATAGCTTTAAGAGTTTTTAAAGTTAAAGTTTCAAATCTCATAATCTGTGGGTAATTCTATTTTAAATAACGGCACAGTGGGTGACTTCTAAGAAATTCTATTTTATATTTTCTAAGTGTGTGTGTGTGTGTGTGTGTGTGTGTGTGTGTGTGTGTATTTTGTTTGTTTGCTTTGTGGCTGTGCTGCGCAGCTTGTGCAATCCTAGTTCCCCGACCAGGGATCAAACCCAGGCCCTCGGCAGTGAGAGCGCAGAGTCCCAACCACTGGACCATCAGGGAACTCCCTTTTCTGAGTATATTGAGCAGGTGTTACATACATAGTTAAAAAATAGTTTGTGAGAAGAAATAACATTTCTGTGTGCTTGAATATCTCCTTCATTTTCTTTTAGGACTGATACCATTTCATCCTGTTTTTCCTTTCAGTGAAAGCACGGACAGCTCAGTTGGCCAAGATAAAATGGGTTATAAGCGTTGCTTTCTACATATTGCAAGTAAGTGTCCTATTCTGTCACCTGGGGTCATTGAAGTTGGTAACGGACTGTCCTCCAGAACCATGTGGCCCAGAATCCGGGCCTGGGAATTCAGGCTTTTCCACTTTCAGCTGCTGTGCTGTGTGGTCCTGCTAGCGTGTAACTGAACACTCTGTGAATTTCTATGTTAGACTAAAGGGAAGCCTTTGTTTCTCTTAGTCTCTTTTAGCCTTTGTCTTTTAGAGTTGTTAAATGTTGGGATTTTTTAGCAGATGCGCTTCTCTGGAGTTTTCATTTTGCCTTTGTTTCAGTGCAGTGTTGGGAGCCTGGGGGTGTATGGAGTGAGAGAGCTTATTTAGACATTGTATTTTCTAAGGTGGTCAGTGACTGGATATTTAGATACTGTATTTTCTAAGGTGGTCAGTGACTGTGGCCGTTGCTTGTCACCTGGTGTGCAGGCGTGTAGGTAACGTGTAGATGTCTGCTCTCAGGCAGGGAACACGTCATTCTCACCTCAGTCCAAGACCTTTGATTCCCAACTTTCTTACCTGGGGGATGTTTACTTGTTGCATTTGCTGCTGCTTCCTTCAGCCGAGGGTGTGGAAGTGCCGCTCGCACACTTAGTGGCTGCTTTAAATGGTCTCCGAGTTTCAGTCCTACGTGTGATCTTTCCTGGGGGAAAAGATTTGCGCCCAGGCCCCCAAAGCCCAGGTTGTTTGGGTTTGTTTGAGGACATTGATCCTGAGGCGTTGTCACTGGGGTGCGAGAGCGGTTTCACAGGGAGAGGAGCTGAGCAAGCCGCGCTCTTTGAGGTCCTCTCGCTCGAGTGGCACGTTCAAGGCCACGAAGGGGATGGAAGACAGCTGCCCGAGCACTGCTGGGAAGGGAGGGGAGGGCAGGCAGCGCTTCTCGTCCCGCCACGTAACCTCACAGAGGGCTCACCTCTGCACTTGGGTGTGTGGGTGAGAGCGGTAGCCAGCTTTTCAAGGATCTGAGAGGCGTGAGATCACTTTTGTCACTGATGAGGTGTAGTTAGCGTAAGCTGGCTGCTTAGAGGAGGTGCTCAGTGAGGAAAGAACACTTATGCTGGGGGAGACCTTGGATACTCTATCAGCTAATTTGATAGTGTGTATATATCTGCTGGCTCTGAGGACTGGATGGGTAGGGTTTGAGGTCACCGATTTGGAGAGTTTCCTTGGTTTGTTTCCGTGTTTCCTCGTCTTCCGTGGTGATCGGTTGTGTGCCTGGCGGGATGTTTCCACTCACCAGCTGTGTCTTTGCAGGCTGCCCTGATGGTCACACTCATCTGGACGTACTACTCTGTCCCTGTGGCCGTGGTGCCGAGTAGGTGGATAACTCCACTAGACCGCCTGGTAGCATTTCCCACTGGAGTGGCAGGTACGCGGGCACTGGCAGACGCGGTGGGAGAGCGTGGTCAGGCTGACCTAGGGGCGTGTGGCGGGAAGTTCGGTCAGCTGAGCTCAGCCTGCCGCCCACAGTGAGAGCTCTGCGTCTCCGCCTCACACAGGGCTTGCAGCAAAGGAGCTGACGTCTAGAGAACTTACTTGTCCAGTGTCACCGAAATGTGAAGTTGCAGGGCTACAGTTCAACCCAAGCCTGCCTCCGTGATCCAAGCCCAGTACCTGGGGTCTGATACCCCGTTTACTGAAACACCACCTCTGGTTCCCAAATTCTGTGACTCCTTTTCAATTCACGCTATGCTTAGCCCCTCTGCAGCATTTCCTGCTATCAGCCATTCTTTGACTTCTGAAAGAATTTCTTTTGGGTGTTAAAATTAGTACATGTCATCGTAGAGTGATTAGAAATATAAGAAAAACCTTTAAAAAAGACTCAGTAGCTGTGGAGAACCCCTCTTAACATTGTGGTATGTTTTTTCCAGTCTTTTTTTCTATTTATTTTTGTATGGTTAAGGTTATCTGGCGCATACAATTTTTTACCCCTCTTATTATGTAAGCCTTTTCCCACATCAGTAAATTTCTTCAGAGTAGAGACGGACGTGCTGCTGGCTGCGCTGAGAGGGCAGCTTAATAAATTTCTTTATTAAGGAATTTTGAATAGCTGTTCTTCATTTGGATGTGTCATAATTTACTAATTGCCCTGTTAAAGGATATTTATTTAAGTCCCCAGTTTTTGCTGTAGAGATGATGCTGCAGTACACATCCTGGTCAGCCAGTCTTTAGTTGTGATTTGTGATCATGCTGGAGGTGAATTGCTAAGTCAAAGGGATGACCGTGTCAAAGATTTCCAATTTAGCCAGGCCCCTTCCTTCCCCTCCCCCTCCCTCTTCCCAGACCCAGTCAGGATTGTTGTAGCTGGTGGCTCTCAGTGTTGCTGAGCCGAGGAGCCAGAGGCCACCCTTCCGGGCATCTTGTGGCCTCTCTTCCTGTCTCTCAGCATCAGTGGGGCAAGAAAGGTGTGGGTAAACATTCCTCCGTGCTTATAATGCTTTGGTGGGAAGGGAAAAACAGATCATCTGACAGGGTGGTCTTACAGTCTATTAATATCATAAAAAATGATGCACATCCCTCTGGCAGGAAAGATAAATTCAAATCATTGTTTGTTGTTTTGAGTAGTTCCTGCTTAGTAAAGAAGGCAGCTCTGTGAATCAGTATAAAGTCTGCGGGCTTCCCTGGTGGTGCAGTGGTTAAGAATCTGCCTGCCAATGCAGGGGACACGGGTTCGAGCCCTGGCCCGGGAGGATCCCACATGCCACGGAGCAGCTAAGCCCGTGCGCCACAACTACTGAGCCTGCGCTCTAGAGCCTGAGAGCCACAACTACTGAGCCCACGCTCTAGAGCCTGAGAGCCACAACTACTGAAGCCCATGTGCACCTAGAGCCCGTGCTCCGCAACAAGAGAAGCCACCGCAATGAGAAGCCCGCGTGCCGCAACAAGAGAGTAGCCCCCGCTCGTCGCAACTAGAGAAAGCCTGCGTGCAGCAACGAAGACCCAGAGCAGCCAAAAAAAAGAAAGTGATCAGTTTGAACCTAGGAAGCACAAACTTGGTGTTAGCCCAACACTACCCCAAAAGGACTGAAGTGCTCTATTTCCTAGAAGTCAAAGGTAGCAGAGGCAGGAAATGTGGGCGGAACTCCTGGCATGCTCTCATGTTGAATTTCTTTATTTTTAGGTGGTGTTGGAATTACCTGTTGGATTTTAGTCTGTAACAAAGTTGTGGCCATTGTGCTTCACCCTTTCAGCTGAAAGAGAAGATGAATTTGGCTACAGCACTTTCAAAACCGAATTTTCACTTAGGAGATTACAAATCTGATTTATACTGTTTTATTGTTTTTTGTCTTGTTTATTTTTGTTTGCTTGTTTTTTTAAAAAAGGAAACACAAGCCACAGGTTAGTTGTTGTTGTTGAACGTGTTTGTTCTTAGACTTTGTGTTGAGATTCTTAGAAGAATCACAGTTTTGTACATTTGTCGTGAGCCATGGAGGTCAGTCTCGTGTGTACCAGCCAGCATGGCACCAGATTTGTGATAAGAAGTGTGTGACATTATGGGCTACATGTTGTTACTTGTGATTTGCACTCTTGGCATATTTTAAAGGTCACATTGCCAACTGGAAAGTCAAACTTTTCTAATAACTTAAGTACTTTAAAGACTTTATGCTATTTTTAATCCAGATTAGAAAGTAACTTAATTTTAATACCACTACTAGAATTTGAAAATTTGTTTTTTAATCTCATGCAGTACTACCGGGAGAATAACACTAGTTGACATTGCTTGTGCTTTTTCCTTCCTCTATTTAAAATGTCATTTGTTGGGCAAGCCTTTGGATGGTATTATCCACTTATTTGAAGCTGTTAACTTTTCATTACTGTGTTTTATAAATGTATTCATGAGCCCATAATGCATTGTTTTGTGTTTGAACTGTGTGTTTTATATTTAATGTATTTCGAATGAAGGGTATTTTTAAAGCATTTAATATTTATGCTCTGTAGAATGGAACAAACTTAAAAAACAAACTGGGAAGTCTGATTAAGTTAATTTCAACGGCTACATGTTTGCCCTGTCAAGTATAATTCTGCTCAGTATTTTTAAAAACACTTTTTTCTAATTACAATCTTGCAAGTGCTTGTGTGACTTCCTTCCTTACGGCCACTTACTTGCTACGACCGATTGGTGGCAGAGGGCCTGAAACGATCACTAAGTGGGCCACAGCCCTGTAAAGTGAACTTCTAGCACGAGTGTTTAAAAGATCACTTTTGTATCCTTGTGTTACCTGACGGTGTGATAGTAAGTTCGTTATTATTTCTGGTAATCGAGCTGTGTAGAGACGGAGCACTGTGCTGCTTTAGTTGATGGTCACAGAGTGGGTTTTGAGTTCCCCTCCTCACTCAGACTCACCCGGCCCCAGGCTGTTGCAGCTCTGGGAGAGGATGCAGAACTGGGAATACAGCCGTATTTACAGCAAACACCAGTGTCCAGCGTCCAGTCACCTCACAGGTACGTTTTAGCCACAGAGGATGAGCAGCTGACCTGCCGAGGACATGACAGCAGCAGAAGGAAGCTTCGGGGTCTTGGGCCCCTTCGAGGCCACAGGCCCTACGTGATTCGTGAGCTGTGGCGTGAATGGCAGGTCACACAGTCAACAGTCGGGTGGCCAGGTACGCGCACTGTGGACCGTCCTGGGATCACTAATTGGTGAAAGTCTCCCTGACAAGACCCTTACTTATCTCCTAAGGATATGTTCTTGCAATTAATACTGCAAGACTTTTGACAGGTTTTACTGAGGCTAGAGGAAAAGATTTATAATTCACAGCTGTTCA